GTACAAAAACTGGACTGTTGATTATTGGAAAAAGGTGTTATAGATGGATGAGTCCAAGTATGAAATATCTGGTTCAAAGTATGTCTGGCAGAAGAAAGGTGAAAGATACTTACCTCAATGCATAGCACCTACCATGAAGCATGGTGCAGGCAATGTGATGGTTTGGGGATGTTTTTCTGCTGAGGTGACATGAGATATTTGCAAAATAGATGGAATAATGGACCAGCACAAGTGGTTTGTGTATTATTGGTAAAGGATTCTACTACCAAGAAGATAATGACCCCCAAACACTCAACCAACCTATGCAGAAATTACTTAGTTAAGAAAGAAGCTGCCCCGATCTCAACCTAATTGAGCAGATCTGGGATTTAATAGATCTAAATTTGACAAATCAAAATTTACTTCCAAAGAAACTTTACAGGAATGCATTAGAGACATTTGGAGTAAAATCCCAAAGGACACTCTGATTAAATATGTTGCAACAATGCCTGAAAGACTGTCTGCAGTAATTAAAGCAAAACAAGGACAAGCAAAATATTAAATGTTTGCTGAAATCAAGCACTTCCATTGAGTTTCTGTTGTACTAGATATGAAGATTAATAAAATTTTGAGGTTTCATCTATGATTTACCTTCCATTGTTCTTTGAAAGTAGCCTGAAATATAATTTTTGACTTTGTCCTAACACTTTTGCACAGTACTGTATTTTCAGCAAGAAATATTTAAAACAGTTTACATTAATAGCAAAGATTATATGCAACAATAATGAAGCAAAATGGTACACAAATTTCTATTCGTATAGAATAGCACCCATTCACATAAGCTTTCAAATCCAACTTGCTCTGGACTTCTGTGTTTAAATTCCAAAATAAAGATTTTGCCTTCAAATAAATTTTTATGTAGACTTTTTCTTTAACTTTCAGTCTAGGTTATAGGTGCATGAAAAAAATTACTCTTAAAAATTATCTCCTTTGTTTGAATCAATGCACTAATTTTTACCGTGAAACTTATAGATCCTGTCTGCTTAGATAGAACAAATGCTACCATACAGATGGTAGAATTGGTATTATACAGTTGGTACTAAAGAAAATATTATGAAGATAGTTGAAACAAATTTAGTTATTACTTATTTCATAATATGACATTATAAGTTAAACTCTGTTCTAAATAAAACTGTATAATCACTTTTGCTTCATCTTATAAACTCTTATCTCAGTTTTCTTTAGGCTACAACATAAGGTCTACTACACCTTGAGCTCATCATGTTTGACAGAAGATAACTTAGGTAATTTTAAAAATATTTTCACCTTTTTTAAAATATGTAAATGATATAGATAAAACAATTATATAAAGAAATAAAAAACATGGAAATGGCTGATAACTTGTTCTGTTAGTATTATAATTAACTCTAATGTTTTATAACTGAGTGATTTTTACACTCTTTTGCACATAAATAACTACCAACAAAATTATTCCATGTCCATACCAACCTTGACAAACTTGGACAGTTCTCGACCTAGCTCAGAACCCACTGATGTTCGGGCATTCTCCTGCATGACAAGCATGATACTGAAAGTTTCCTCCAGCAATAAATTCTAACATACATAACATAAAACCTTTAACTAATGGCTAGAGAACTAGGGTGGGAAACAAGGTTTATTTTCCACAACAATTTGCACTTGTTGACTTTCTTAATAAAATTTCTTTTCTGGATGTTTTTTATACAATATACATAAACCTGTTAGTACCTAATATAAAAAGTTGGAAATGAAACAAAAAAACTTAAAATTACTATATTATAACATGATCTTATATAATTTAGTTGCACATTAAACATAATTTTACAAAATGTAATAAGAACTCAAACTGCTCTTTGAGTTGAACATGAAAGGAGATCTTAGATATTGATAAAGTGGTGTTATGCAGCTTCTATATGTATTTCACTATTTTCTTCTTTCCCAAATACAATTTGATATCATTTAAAAAAAATAATGACATGAAGAAACTGCACCTGCACACATAAAATATTTGTTATTGTACAGATTACATACATACATACACACACACACACACACACAAATATGTGGTAAATAAGCTTGATATGTTAATAAACATAAAAAACTTCCCCCCCCAATATTTTTACAGCCATTTTTTTTATTCCTTTTCCAGAGAAGGCTTTCTAGTTCACAAGTTGCTCTAATTTATATGTATATATAGACAGATAATAAAGATATTTCACAAATTTCATACTTTATTGACAAAGATATTTTCCACTTTATAATTTTATATAAGTGCAATATATATATTTTTATACCAAGTTTATATCCAATAGGATTCTTCATTATAAATAACTACCATATGTTGCATGTGATATATCAATAATATCAAATACATCTACCTCACTATGCTAGATGATTAAACTCACTGTTATAAAACCTGGTATATATATATATATATA